TAGCATACCATACCATAACATACCATAGCATACTGTAGCATACCATAACATACCATGCGTACCATACCATACATTAATTAAGTATTACCATAGCATACTGTAGCATAACATACCATAACATACCATACCATACATACCATTCCATAGCATAGCATAGCATACCATACCATACCATACCATACCATAGCATACTGCAGCATACCATAGCCAATGGCTGCAGATACCATACCAGATATGGACAGACACCAATATACATCTCAGAGCTTTTATATCCGTACACTCCTGTCGGGGCTTTGAGGTCCTGTGATCAAGACCTGCCGATTGTCCCCGAGACAAAACTGAAAACTAAAGGAGACCGAGCCTTTTCTTCTGTGACTCCAAGACTCTGGAACTCCCTTCCTCACACTCTCTAATCAGTGGACTCAGTGACTTCTTTTAAGCTAAAAACTCATCTTTTTAAATCTGCCTTTGCTCAAATTTGTTTTGTGCACTTTTTTTAAATTTTGCTTGTCGAAGCACGTTGTGATTTTCATCTTGAGAAGCGCTATATAAATAAAGTTTTACTTACTTACCATACCATACCACCTTTATTTACAAAGCACTTCAAACAACAACAAGGCCAACCAAAGTGTTATACAGCAGAAACCAACAAGCAATGTACACAGCAAAAAATAAAGAAACAAATAAATAAATAAAAAAAACAGATCCGAATGGAAGACAATAACAACTAAAGGGCTAAACATTGTAGAATACAGACAGGTTAAAAACAAATCACACTGTGATTTTATATTGTATAAAAAATATATAACGTTTCATTAAAAATATAGTAATTTGTTACAGTGTATTTCAATTATAAATGACTTTACAAATTATTATTAATAATTGGTCAAATTATGTAAAAGCTAATTCAGTATTTTTAGCTTATTACAGTAAACTTCCTAAAGGGTGAAATATCACTGCTCTGTGTTTGAAAATGGAAAAAGTGGGGTTTAATCTGTTTTTTATATTTAATTGTTCCTTTATGTTAAATCATTCGTGAATCATGTTTCTTCACAGAGCTCATCGAAAGACAAACCTGGGTTCAGTATTTAAGGTTAGTAACTTTACAAATGCACAAATGGCAAACAGGGTTGTTAGTTTAAAGTGTTGTTGTTATTCAACACTTTTTTTTTTGTTTGTACTGTTATGACTATTGGACATCAGTAGCCTGTTTTTAACCCAAATTCCTTCTGTGTGCAAAGATTCATATTTTTCACTTCATAATATTAGAATAATTGTAGTTCACTTGCCTGGAAGACAAACTGACTTCTTGTTTTTGGTCTTGGTTGGAAGATATTTTCATGTGCCATCCTTAATTTTTATTTATTCTAATTACTGTAAAGGCATGTCAGGCCTATAGACTTTTGTTGGCACAAAATATTGTTACTCAGTGTTGTGTATGTGTTGGTGAATGATGGTTGAGACAAAGACCTAAACGCAGGAATAAGGAGGCAGGAGATAACAGAGTTCAAATCTTTAATAAACTTCCAGGTATTGAAGGTTCTGCAGAAGCTAGACAGGTAATATAAAGTCCATGAACAGACAAAAAAATCCACTAAAATATCCAAAATACAAAATTACAGTTGTAACAAACGGGCCAATTATTATTTTTTGGTCCAGACTGTGCCTTAAAGACCAAGTTAGAGTTTCCCAGTTATATTTACTACGCTAAAATATGTTTTACAGATTGCTTTAACCTTGATAATGAACACTTCGTCGACATTTAGATGAATAGACTTGAGGTTCTTCGTTTCTAAATCCGAGATTAAATGTAAATTGTTTTTTCCATTACAGACCCTTGATGAGAAAATAGTTGCTTTTGTGAAGAATGAGCTGAAGAAGTTCCATAAGCTTTTGAACATGGAAAGATTTTGTAACCAAACCGAAGAACAGGTGGTTAACTGCAAAGAGGAAGAGCAGAAGATGATCAGTAAAGAAGCTTTTCTTAATATAACGCTGGAGTCTTTGAGGAGAATGAAGCAGGAAGAGCTGGCCTACTCTCTAATGAACAGTAAGTTATTTACTTCAAAACATCATGAAGAAAAAAATGTAACTTCTTTTATGATGATCATTTGCTTGTATCAGTGAGCATATAAAACTCTTCTTTAACTTTAAAAATAAGAACTTTACGTGCTTTTAGAGTCTGATGGTATTCACTGGATTCATTTTTTTCTTTTAGGAACTCGTGTTCTCATGTGTCACTGTAAACTCAAATCTAACCTGAAGAAAAGTTTGGCGTACGTGTTTGAAGGGATGGCTAAAGCAGAAAATCCAACCCTTCTGAATAAGATCTACACGGAGCTCTACGTCGTTGAGGGAAATGCTGCGCAAGTCAACAGGAAGCACGAAGTGAAACTGATTGAGAGGATTTTCATGAAACCAGCTAGACCAGAAACAATAATCAGATGTGAGGACATCTTTAAACCCTTTGCTGGAAGTGATAAGCCCATTAGAACCGTGATGACAGAAGGGGTTGCTGGCATCGGGAAAACAGTCTTAACACAGAAGTTTGCACTGGACTGGGCCGAAGGCAAAGCTAACCAGAACTTTCAGTTCATATTTCCGTTTTCTTTCAGAGAGCTGAATATGATAAAGCAGAAAAAGTTTAGTTTGCTTGAACTTATTCACCTCTTTTTTCATGAAAGCAAAGAAGCGGGGATCTCAAACTTTGAAGAGTTCCAGGTTTTGTTCATCTTTGATGGTCTAGATGAGTGTCGATTCCCTCTGAACTTGAACAGTAAAAAGATCCTCACTGATGTCACAGAGCCCACCTCGTTAGATGTGCTACTGACAAACCTGATCACAGGGAAATTACTTCCCTCGGCTCGCATCTGGATAACAACCCGACCTGCAGCGGCCTGCCAGATCCCACCTGAACTTGTTGACCTGGTCACAGATGTGAGAGGGTTCAATGATCCACAGAAAGAGGAGTACTTCAGAAAGAGAATTGCAGACGAAGAGCAATCTAAAGCAATCATCTCCCACATCAAGACATCACGAAGCCTCCACATCATGTGCCACATCCCGGTCTTCTGCTGGATCTCTGCTACCGTTCTTGAGGATGCATTTAAAACCAAAGAGAAAAGAGAGCTGCCCACATCCCTGACTGAGATGTATGTCTACTTTCTGGTGGTTCTGTCCAAAGTGAAGACGGTCAAGTACGATGGTGGAGCTGTGACAGATTCCCTCTGGAGTCCAGAGACCAGGACAATGATCCAGGCTTTGGGAAAACTGGCTTTTGAGCAGTTAATGAAAGGCAACCTGTTCTTTTATGAATCTGACCTGACGGAGTGTGGCATTGATGTCAAAGCAGCTTCGGTGTACTCAGGTGTGTTCACGGAGATCTTTCAGGAGGAGAGAGCGCTGTTCCACGCGAAGATGTTTTGCTTCGTGCATCTGAGTGTTCAAGAGTTTCTGGCTGCTCTTCATGTCCATCTGACATTCATCAACACTGGCGTGAATCTGCTGTCAGAAGAGGAATCGACTTCCCGGAAACCCAAAATGTCTGCAGAGACATTTGATCGTTTTTACCAATGTGCTATAGATAAAGCCTTACAGAGCAGGAATGGACAACTGGACCTGTTTCTTCGCTTCCTTTTGGGTCTTTCACTCAAAAATAACCAGAGACTCTTACAAGGCCTTGTTGCAGAGGGAGAAAGCTGCTCCAGTCAGAACACAGTTCAGTACATCAAGAAGATGATCAGCCAGAATGTTTGCATTTTGAAAAACAACAGCTTGTTTTACTGTCTGAACGAGCTGAAGGACTGCTCTCTGATAGAGGAGATCCAGCGGACACTGAGAGCAGGCAGACTGCCAACAGATAAATTACTTCCTGCTCAGTGGGCGGCCCTGGTCAATGTTATACTTTCATCAGAAGAAACTCTCAATGAGTTCAATCTGAAGAACTACTATGAATCAGATCTGGCTGTAATGGGTCTGATAACAGTGGTCATAAACTGCTCTAAAGCTCTGTAAGTTAAGACCACCTATAGTAAATGCAAATAAAAGCTACATTATTTTTTTTACGCTGCATTTTCTCCTTTTGTTAATGTTACTTTAGGCTGAGTTGCTGTAACCTGACAGAGATGTGCTGTAGTCGTCTGGCCCTTGGTCTCCAATCAAAGTGCTTAATTCTGAAGAAGTTGGATCTCAGTAACAACGACCTGAAGGATTCAGGAGTAAAGTTGATCTGTGATGGACTGCAAAGTTCCAACTGCACACTGGAAACACTCAGGTCAGGATCTACGTTTGGTCACCAGATGACAATTAAATCTTGGATAAAAAAAAAAAATTCAAGAAAACAAGTTTTAGAGAATGTGTTCCAATTTTCATAAGGTGGATGGTAGCGCAGTTATGGGGTGCCGTTTGTAAAGTTACACGATCAAAAATTAACAGCAATGTTTTGGCTTATTTAGCTTTTCATAAGACAAAAAATAGGTTCTACTTTCAAAGTCATATTTTCACCATGCTATTCATACATGTATAAATGTCATAGTTCCCAACTAAATATTTAATTTACAAGCTAAATATTTAGTTTACAAGCTAAATACTTAACTTGCAAGTTAAATATTTTGTTACTAAACTAAATATTTAGGTGTAAATTAAATATTTAATTTACAAGCTAAATATTTATTTTCAAACTTAAACATTTAATTTTCAAACTAAATATTTAATTTTCTAACTAAATATTTAACTCTGACCTAAATATTTAACTTGTAAGCTAAATATTTAAGTTCATGATAAATATTTACTAGTAGTTAGCTAATTAAATATTTAGTTTAGAAATTAAATGTTTGGCTTAGAAATTAAATGTTTAGACTGGAAAAAAATATTTAGCTTGGACAATAAATATTTAGCTTGGAAATTAAGTATTTAATTTACACCTAAATATTTAGTTTACTAATTAAATATTTAACTTGCAAGGTAAGTATTTAATTTGTAAACTAAATATTTAGCTTGTAAATTAAATATTTAGTTTGGAACTGTGACTTTTATAAATGTATGAATAGCATGATGAAATATGATTAAAAAAAACTTTTTTTTTCTTATTAAAGGCTAAGTAAACCAAAATGGCTGTTAATTTTTGACTGTGTAACTTTACAAATGGCAGCACATACATGGTTAGCACTGCCTTGAAGCAAGAAGTACTAATAGTCTTGTGCACTAAAGTTTATGTTGTTTGTGTTTGTGTGCAGGCTCTCCGGCTGTTTAATCACAAAGGAAGGCTGTGCAGCGCTGGCGTCTTCTCTGGGTTTCAACCATTATTACCTGAAAGACTTGGATCTGAGCTACAACCATCCAGAAGACTCTGGAGTGAAGCTCCTTTCTGCTGGACTGGACGACCCTAACTGGGCATTGCAGACACTCAGGTACAAACAGTCTAAAGTTCAAGGTTCTTTATTGTCATTCACATCACATGTGGTACATGAGGTGGAATAAATTTTGTATGCAGTGTCCCAATTACACCCAAAAATAGCAAAATATAAAGTCTAAAGAAGAAACTGTATACAAAGAAAGAAGATGTACGCTAAACAAAAATAATGTAATATACGGTGTATTAAGCTGCAGCTTGAACTTGAGTCTGTTGTGAGCAGATGGATATGAATATAGCAGCTTAGGAGTAAGAAATCATCAGCACAGGATGCTCTTCACTGCACAGCTGTAGAAGGAGGTGAGGACTGAGCTTCCCAGTCCGGCTCGCCTCAGCCGCCTGAAGAAGTAGAGTACAGTATATAAAGATTGAGATTATCGAAAATCCTCAGGAAAACACTACAAAAGGAAACAGATGATCTATGACAAACATATTTCAGGTTTCAGGTGTCTGCTTTGAGATATTCAAATCAGTACTGTACTATACAATAATATGTATAAACTACATTATATATCACTGATATACAGCACATTTGTTCCAGGACTGAGCCAAGAGGATCAAAGTTCATAAAACCTGGTCTGGGGAAGTGTAAGTATGTTTTGTGTATATGTATGTGTGTGTGTGTGTGTGTATATATATATATATATATATATATATATATATATATATTTATTTATTTTACAAACAAAAACGTTTGAGTTAAAAAAAAATCTTCCCACAAATATTCAAGCATTTGTCAACAAAAGAGCTATGTAATCAAATTGACAATTCTTAGGTAAGGTAAAAAATAATAATAAAAAAAAAAGTTCAGCCGCATTTTTTTATTTTTTTATTGCTGAAGCTCAACAATGACTTTGACAAAATATATTTAATGTTTTAAAGTTATTGTTGAAAAACCTATAGTAATAATAATACAAGTAATGAATACATGAACTGTTATGGAGGTTGTTCAGGTAATAAACATCCGTCTGTCCATCAGATGCCTGTGACCTCATGCTGGACGTCAACACAGCACACAGAGACCTCATTCTGTCTGACAACTACAGAAAAGTGACCATGGGAACAGAAAATCAGCCATATCCTGATCATCCAGACAGGTTTGATGTCATTGAACAGCTGCTGTGTAAAGGTGGTCTTACTGGCCGGTGTTACTGGGAGGTTGAGTGGAGAGGAAGAGTGTCCATCGCGGTAACTTACAAAGGGATCAAAAACAGAGGAGGAAGTGACGACAGCAGCCTTGGAATGAATGATCAGTCCTGGTGTTTGCTGTGCTCTGATGATGGCCACTACGCCCTGCACGATAATGAGCCAACCCCCATCCAAGGAGCCCCTTCAAACAGAGTGGGGGTCTACCTGGACTGGCCTGAAGGCTCTTTGTCCTTCTTCAGGGTCTCCTGTGACCAAAAGTCCCACCTTCACACCTTCAGTTTCACATTCACTGAGCCAGTGTACCCTGCGTTCAGAATTGCAACCGAACCATTAAATTCATTTCTGCTTTTGTGTTAGATTTAACTAAACAAGATGCCCCCCCCCCCCCCCCCCACACACACCAAAAACAAACAAACAACTAAACATCTTGGAAGAAATATTAAGGCTGTGAATTTTAAAACCACGTGAAAACTTTTGTAATCTACATTTAAATTACAGAGTGAATCTAAGCAAGATGAGAGGAGAACATGAGCTCACCTTTGCCAAAAATTAGTAGAGATTTGTAAAAGTTGTTAAAATTGTGTGTTTTAACACTGGCAGCATGAACCATGATGCAAGCCATGTTTGATTCTCAGGGTCTATTTTGTTCATTTAGAAAGAAATGATGTAAAATGTTGATAAAATAAAAATCAAATAGAAAAACTTTAAGTACATAGATGGCACTCTAAATAATTGTTTTGCCTCTGCCTTTAATATTAGTGAAGAACAAACCATCTATAAACTGCATAATCAGAATAAGCTTTATTATCATTGCACCGAGATACAACGAGAACATGTACGTACAGTCGTCCGAAAGATGGGCGGAGTGCACGAAGCTGCTAACATGAAAGCGCGGCTCTTATTCTTATTCAGAATAATATTTTGCTTAGAGAAAAGGGAAGAAAACATGATGAGAGACGGTATAAAAAACAGATCTCTCACACCGTGTCCTAGACAGGGCACGATTTGAGGCATAAAAAAAAAACACAGCTTAGCAACATAAATAGACATGATACATTTATATAAATACCTGCATATACATGTACAAATATAAAACAGTTGATAGTGATTTTTTTGAATATGTTTTTTTTATGCCTGATATCTGTTAAGGGACTATTTTACCTCTAAAACATTGTCGTAAAACAAAGTAGAAAAAAGAAAAATGTGCTCTGTTTTTAAATTTTTTTAAATTTTAGACTTTTACAGTTTAGGATTTTTACTTGATCTGTTTATGACACTTTTGCCATGACACTGAATTAGTTTGCCTTTTTATGGTATAATCAATGTTTATTGCAATCTTGCTTTTGAACCCATTCTGTAAATTACACTGTTACAAAGTGTACAAAGAAATTGTGCAGATTCTTTAAATAAAGTTTGACGAAGAGTGTTTTCTTTTTCTTTTTTGAGCATGAAAGAAAATTATATTAACGAAGTGTTTGGCACATTATAAAGCCAACTTTATTTATTTATTTATTTTTCCTACGAACTTTTTCTTTCTTTTTTGCTTATATCCTGATATTTACACAACCTAATGAAATCTTTTCTATTTGAACGTTGAACTTTTGATTTATTTACTTTTTAATGTAAAGCACACAAACAATATTACTAAATGTTGCTTAGAACTGGCTACACTTGTCAGAAATAAATAGTAATGGTAGTTTAATTTAGGATTTTACTCATTTATTTTTATTAACATTCAGATTAGATTGTTAAACTGTATAAAAGACAAATAAAGTGCACAACACCACTCTAGCTACTGGTCTATCAATCTCATTAGGGTAAGAGCCACTGCACTAAGCACTGACTCAGACCTTTTAAATGGAAGGCTGGTCCAGACCCCTGCACTGGGGTACCTAGGAGTAAAACCAGTGTCCAGTGAGGGGCGTGCTGCAACGTGTTGTGGAAAAATAAAACGAATTCATACGGCAGTGATAGTCTCTCTAACACAATTGTCCTGTAAACTGCGTTTTAGTTCACAGTTGCTGCTCTCTGACAGCTTTCCAGTTCTGACAAAACTGATGTTTTCTTGATAAAATTGTTCAAATGAGCTCTGATAATCAACAAGCGGGGTCTTCCTGTCACCCATCTGACAATGCAACATTTGTTAAAGAGATGCACTGCTGAGATTGAGATGCATCGTATGACCCACTGCATGCCTGCGGTTGTTGCCTAAACGCTTCCTGCACTACTGTAGTCCAAGCTTTTGCTGAAAACCTACACAAAAAAAAACTAATAATAATAATATCTCACCCCATCCATTAAATGTATTTTGCCTTCACTCTACATTTAGCACAGAAGAACATAGTACAGCAGTCAGTGTGAGCTCTTTAAGTAAATCCACACAGACAGCAAACTGTGATCTTATATTAGTTATCCTGATGCATGCTCAATAATCCAGGTAGAAAAATCCAAAAAAGTTCCCAGGGGAGGCCACACCTAGTCTGTATGGTTTACCTAAAATCCACAAACAAGGTGTACCTTTAAGACCTATTGTTAGCATGATTAACTCTGTCACTTACAATGTTTCCAAATATCTGGCGTCTGTACTCATCCCTTTAGTTGGCAGCTCAGAACACCACATACAGAACACCATGGACTTTGTGGATAAGGTGAGGGATGTCATCATGGAGACTGATGAAACAATGGTCTCTTTTGATGTCACATCACTCTTTACGTGCATTCCTGTTGATGATGCAGTAGAGGTGGTCGGTTTAAAATTAAAATCAGACACCACTCTGAGCAGCAGGACCACGCTTTCCACAGAACAACTGTGTCAACTCTTGAAACTGTGCCTGCAGTCAACCTACTTCACATATGGGGAGCAATATTATAGGCAGAAACATGGGTGTGCTATGGGGTCTCCAGTTTCTCCTATTGTTGCCAACCTGTACATGGAGGAGGTAGAAAAGAGAGCCTTGACGTCCTTTTCAGGGACACCACCAAGTCATTGGTTCAGGTATGTTGACGACACCTGGGTTAAAATCAAATCTCAGGAAGTCCAACATTTTACTGACCACATCAACTCTGTGGATAAATACATCAAGTTCACACGAGAAGATGTAAAAAATGGCAAGTTGGCTTTCTTGGACTGTGAGGTCTCAGTCTCTGATAGAGGACATTTGCAAACTGAGGTGTACCGCAAACCCACCCACACAGACCAGTATTTGCAGTTTGACTCCCATCACCCTTTGGAGCACAAGTTAGGAGTCATCAGGACTCTGTATCACAGAGCAGACAGC